TCTACACAAAAAACTACAGGCCAGAAGGGAGTGGCAAGAAATATTCAAGGTCCTGAATGAAAAAAAGATGCAGCCTAGGATATTCTATCCAGCAAGGCTATCCTTTAGGATAGAAGGAGGGAGAAAGAATTTCAAAGACAAGCAAAAACCAAAAGAGTTTAGCAACACTAAACCCATGCTAAAAGAAATATTGAAAGGTCTACTCTAATAGAAAAGCAACAGGATGCTACAGAAATGAGAAACTCATAACTGGAAAGGTGATAACTACCATGAATTACAAATAGAATAAACACAAAATTGTAAAAGAAGACATCTAAATCATTAAGAATGGGAGAGGGAAGCAAGGAAATATAGAGTATTTTTTTCTTTGTTTTTTAAATTTTTTGTTCTCAGTAGGATGGGTTTGAGATTATATTACTATCCGTTTAATAAGAACAGTTACAGTAATGGGCTAATAGACTTACAAAAAAGGGTAACCACAAGCCAAAAACGTATGAGTGAGTCACAAAAACTATACAATACATGATAATACAAAGAAAAATTATGAAACCACAAAAGGAAGAGGAAAGGAACAAAGAGGAAATACCAAATCAACTGCAAAAATAAGTTTAAAATGGAAATAAACACACATCCATAATTCATGACTGTAAATGTTAATGGACTAAATGCTCCAATCAAAAGAAATACAGTGACAGACTGGATAATAAAGCAAGAACCTTCAATACGCTGCATACAAGAGACTCACTTTAGGGAAATGGACACATATAGATTGAGAGTGAAAGGACGGAAAAAGATATTCCATGCAAATGGAAAAGCCAAAAAAACAAGTGCAGCAGTACTGATTTTGTACAAAATAGACTAAAACAAAGGCCATAAAGAAAGATAAAGAAGGACATTTTATAATGATTAAAGGAGTAATACAAGATGAAGATATTACAATTGTTAATATATATGCACCCAATGTAGGAGCACCTAAGAACATAACACAATTACTAACAGAGATAAAGGGGGATATTGATGGGAATACAATCATTGTCAGAGATTTTATCACCACATT